AAAAAAAAGAAAGAAAAAACAAGATAGAAATATGGACCACCACCGAATCCCCTTTTTAATAGCGTAATGGTTTGGAATTTGCAAATGCTTCCATACCACGCTTTTCTCATCGCGGCTTCTATTGTCTAAACAGTAAACCAAATGTCGATATTGCTTAACAATTAAAAATGTAAATACTCAACTTTTGTACATAGCCATACATTACTTTGTGTGGAATCTATATATGCCGCTGAATTGATGGATGATGGTCCTACATAATATCTCACAAACAGACTTTACATGGACACAATAGCATATTAAAAATATTATTATTATGACATAAAATTATAAAAGAATATAAATTTAATCATAACATTAACATGATATATCTTAGCTTTGGAGTCTATTGTAAAATGTAAAAAAAAAGCTATATTAAATAAGCAAAAAAGCTATATTACTACATGGTAGCCGCAGATACAAAAATCTATTCAGAAGCAGAAGCGGTTTATTAGGTGGAAGACGAAGGAATCACCTCGCGCAGGAGGTTCTGCGCGCGTGAGAGCTGCTCCATCAGAGAAACAATGCGATCGTGATAGTCACGCGCTTGATAAACCGCTTCTGCTTCCAGCTCTCCGAGCTGCGAGCAGAGTCTCTCCTCAGCTTCCTCCGCCACGCGCAGCCTCTCCCACGTGCTCTGTAACTGCCGTCTCATTTGTTCTTCTCTCTCCTTGCTTTCCTTTAACTCCTTCTCAAGCTCTTGGTTTCTCTTTTTCAGCTCTGAATCCGACTCCAGCACCACATTTTTCATCTGCTTTTTCCCGCCGGTGCCGATGACTGCCATCATAGAGGCGGCGAAAATACTCATGAATTTCAAGGAAATTAAATTCTAGATTTGAGATAATAGAGATGCGGTGGAAAGAAGAAGCTGTGTGATTTTGGGTTTGAGAGTGTGTGGTGTTGCGAACTTGTGATGTGGGTATATAAATATTGTAAATAGATTGTAATTGGGTGTGTCCAGGTTCAATGAACCTTGTTTTCACTCTTAAAGTTTAACTTTAACCCGTTCAACTTTGATGATGCATCTGCTTGCTGTGCTGGCCTAAATCGTTTGTTTTTAAATGTTTAAATAACATTCCTAATGTGGCATTTATACACAACAAAACAAAATGTATTTGATTGTATTTTAACCAAATACATTTTAATTTTTTTTTTCTATAGAAGAATTTATTTTGTTATAAATAAATCCTCCATTTTTAGACAAATTTAATAGAAATACAAAAAGATAATTTTTATCTAAAATATTTTCATACACAAATTATTAGAATGTAACTACCATATTTTTAAAATAAATTAAATTTTTTTTTAATTAGTTGTATTAACTTTTTATATATGATTTAAATTTATATTTTATGTCAGACGACTTTTGGCTTTTTTTCATATAAGACTTGTGTATTAAGCAAACACAACATAACTTTTGAAAAAAAAAATTAATTTAACATTTGAAGTTTGTCGTAAAATAGATAGGACAATTAAAATCACTTTTACAAAATTATTCAAAGTTTAATTATATAAAAAATATTTAATATATAGGATAAAAAACAATAATAATCAGACAAATGATTATAAACAATAAAATTAATAATAGGTGAGAATACAAGAAATTTGTTTACACCTTTTGATCAAATATACAAATTTAATTTTAATCATTTTAAAGAGGAGGTGAAAAGAAGAAGAAAAAGTGTGTGAGAAATGATAAATAATTGTTCTCTTGAACATTATGACTCTTTGAATCCATAAAAAATAAACATTTATTTGAGCTCAACCATACAATTTTTTTTTTTTAAGAAATGTTGGGATTTCATCAAAGATGACATTTTTCTTTGTTTTAAAGATTTTTATGGGAAGGCTACTCTTTCAAAGACTAAATTGCTCTTTTCTTACTTTGATCCCGAAAAACGATTTGCCATTGTGCTTGGATGAGTATCACCTTTTTACCTTGTCGGGTGTATTTATAAGGCCCTCTCAAAGTTGTTAGCGGCCAGATTAAAAGTTGTTTTTGGTAAGATCATTTCTCCTTATCAAACAACTTTTATTCTGGGTCGGCATTTACTTGAAAGTCTCTTGGTGGCTAACAAAGTAGTCGACTTCGCGGCGAAGGAGCAAAAATAGTGTATGTTTTTCAAAGTTAATTTTGAAAAAGAATATGATAAGGTGAGTTGGAATTATCTCAAATATATATTGAGAATGATGGGATTTGGAGAGCTTTGGCTAAAATGGATGGATTATACAGTTTTCTCTAGTTTTATGTCGGTTTTAGTTAATTGAAGCCCAACGAAGGAGTTTAAGGGCGAAAGGGTTCTCAGACAAGGGAGAACCTTTATCGTCGTTCTTATTTGTCATCGATGCAGAGGGTCTTTCGGGTCTGGTGAGAAGATCAATTTGTATGGGAGAGTTTACCGGTTTTCATGTCAAGGATAATTGTGTTGTGGATATACTGCAATTTCCTGACGATACATTACTAGTTGGAGATGGAAGTTGGAAACATCTTTGGGATCTTAAATGTGTTCTTAGAGGCTTCGAAGTAATCTCGGGTCTTGGAGTCAACTACTTGAAAAACAAGCTTATCGGTCTTAATATTAATCCTTTTTTCATGGATGCAACAACTAATTTTCTTTCGTGCAGGTTGAAAGGTAGTCAGTTCTCTTTTCTCAGCATCCCGATCGACATTAATCCTAGACATATTTCCTTTTGGAAATGCTTGTTACGGAAACTTGAAGATCACCTTGCAAAGTGGAAAGGTAGAGTTTTAAATCTTGGAGGAAGAATTACTCTACTCAAATTGGTTTGGAGGAGCCTTCCCGTTTTCCTTCTATCATTCTATAGATTACCTATCAAGATCTGCAAATCTATCACGAAAATTCAAAATATTTTTTTATGAGGAGATAGTTCAGGGATTAGAAAAATCCATTGGGTAGGATGGGAACAATTATGCTTGCCTCTTCATTTGGGTGGCCTTGAATTCAATAGGGTGGAAGAATTCAATATCGCGCTGCTTTTCAAGTGGAGATAGTGGCTTTTAGAAGGAAAGGAGTCGATATGGATTGATGTTCTGCGAGCAAGATACGGCGATGATTCCTTATCCGTTTATTTGGATGGCAATAAGAATACTGCAGTTGGTTCAGTGTGGTGGAAAGATATCTCATCTCTTGAAAAAAGGCATAATAGAAACAATCTTTTATCTGTCAATTGTTCTTGGGGAAAGGAAACACCATTTCTTTTTGGGCTGGAAATTATCAATGACAAAGGAACTCATTTTTGTAATATGTTATTTGAAGAGTTATTGGCCAAATATAGAGTGAAATACAAAGTTGTCACAACCTATCATCTCAAATGTAACAGATAAGCTGAATTATCTAGTCAAAGATAAGGAGAATCTTAAAAAAAAAACTATGAATCCTTCAATGAAAGATTGGTTCAAACACCTTGAGGGTGTTTTGCAGCTCTACATAATATTCAAAACAAAACATTTTTTAATGATATTCAATTTTATATATAATTTTTAATATTTATAAAATAATATATTTTTATAATGTATTATTAAAGTAATTTATTTTAAAATAGTATTTATTTAGTATGTGATAACTATTTATTTAAGGGTCTTGCTAACTATTTAGCATTTCCCTTTATTTAAATATATGATGTATTAATTGTTATTTGAATAATTATGTAATAAATTCCAAATACAAAATAATTAATCTAATATTAAATATGAAATATAAAATAATTGAACTAGAAATGTAAATGAGAGATAATTGAAATAAAAGTGTAATTAAAATATATTTTTACTAATATTACAAATTAATTATATAATAAATATGTTTTTTGGGATATTAGTTAAACAAAATGCGCATTAAATCTAATGCCAAAATTTGTTTATATGATGTATTTTAAAGTTCAACTATATAATATACAGATGTTCAAATTTAAATCAATCTAAATAAAAATTATAATTAATTTAAAAAATCAAATATCGCAAAAATCTAAATATTATTAAATGTAGTTGGATTGCTTTTTGTAAAATCTGCTTAGATTTGAATTGGATTTTGAATTGATTTTTTAAAATCAACTAAACTAAATTAAATTGTCTGTATACATATTTATATTTTATTAGTATGATTTGTTGTGTTAATTTATTATTCAAGAATATTTATTTTAAAATATTATTTATTAATTTAATTTAAATTATTTATTTTTATTATTTTATTTGTTTCAACTATAATTAATAACTTTTATGTTATAATATTAATTTTTAATATATTATATGTTGGATATTATATAAAATTTATTTTTTATTTTTAGTTTTTTAATAAAAAATATAATTTATAATTTAGATATTCAAAAATCAATCTAAGTTAAGTCATAAAATTAGATCGGATTCTATTAGATTTTTTGAATTATCATCCAAAATCGATTTAAACTGCAAATAAATTTATTTTTAAATTAAATAATTTTTTACTTTAAATTTGGTCAAAATCATACCGCAAACACCTCTAATATGACATAAAATAGAGAGTAACCTATTCTTCAATTATACTACTTGTATAATATTTAAAATTAAAAATATATTAATAATAAATATTTATTTATTATTTTTTGTTTCAATTTATGATATGAATTAAAAACAAAATTTAAACCCCTTTCCTTCCCCTCCTATCTTGTAAAAATATTCTTTAGTTAAATTCTCCGTTTAATAATTCACTTTAACCTCCGAGTATTTTAAACTCGTTCAAATCTATTAATTAACTCTGAGTTTAACCGCCAATGTTGCTTAACCATATATGTTAAATTCCATTTTTTTAATAAAAGGTGACTTTTTGTAATATCTTGCAATTTTCTATAATTTAGTTATTTAATGGGTGATCCACATAAATTAAACTGCTATTTTTTAATATAATGCGACTTTTGGTAGATATTTCGCAATTTATAATAAACAAGACAGATAGTGTGACAGCAGAGACAAGATGGATCCCGATTCATGGAGCACGTGTCCCTTTTGTGATTCACCAGTTCCTTCATCTCAACTTCAATGGTATGCATGTATGTTTGTAAATGTATGTATTATGTATGTATGTATGTATGTCTCTTTCTTCTTTACCATTTCACATCGATGAATGAAGATGATATATCAATATGATTCTGCATAAACGCAGGCACGCCAATGCTCATTTTCATGATCCCGAGCTTCCCCAACAGCCCCTCCAATCTCTTCCGGTACTCTCTCTATATCTATTAATCTATATGCCTACATGAGAGGTTCCTCTTGTGGTTTTAAAGCAATGTTTTCATGGAGAATTATATATTTTGCAGAGTCAACATTGTAACTATTCTGGCGGTGAGACTAGTAGAGATAAAGAGGAATGTTCAATGGATGAAAAAATCTCTTGCTTGATTGGTTTACAGACAAGGAGCGAGTTTTACAAAGTTGAATCAGGTTTAATGACCTTGTTGAGAAATTGTTTGGAGTCTGAAACTGAGAATTCGAAAACTGTTTTGTCCGGTTATGTTGATCATTTCCAGAGCCTTGATTCTGAGGATGCTGGATGGGGTTGTGGATGGCGTAACATTCAAATGCTTAGTTCTCATTTGTTAGCGCAGAGGCCGGAAGCAAGAGAGTTTTTGTTCGGTGGTTCGGGGTTTGTTCCTGATATCCCGTCGTTGCAGAGATGGCTTGAGGTTGCTTGGGAAAAGGGTTTTGATGCACCAGGAGCTGCTCAACTTGATCATGTTGTTTATGGTTCAAAAAAATGGATAGGGACTACTGAATGCGCTGCTCTATTGCGTTCTTTTGGTCTTCGTGCAAGAGTAGTGGATTTCGGTCCTATGGAATCTCAATCTGTCGTAGGAACAAATGTTGATAACACGGACGATAAAGCAAGTAGTGAGGCTTATCAAGTTCTCATGGATTTTGTGTGGAATTACTTTTCTGATGAAAACACAGTCCAATTCGGTCTGCAGCATGTTGTGATCAGCGAGAAAACGTGAGGGGGCATTTAAGATACACACATTTAACCACATCCAAACAATTTTGTTTCTTATTTCTTAAATTATGAATGCTTTGTTGGATAGGCCCTTGTACTTTCAACATGATGGTCATTCAAGAACAATCGTTGGCGTTCAAGCTAAATATCAACAGGATGGAGTTCTAACGTATAATCTCCTAGTTTTGGATCCTGCTCATGTAATTTGTCTTCCTTGCCAACTTCATATTTAGCTTTTAATAATTAATATCTGTTCTCTTAATCGTAATTCCAACACTTTTGAGGATTTGCATGTTACACCGGTCTCTGGAGCATGCATGTGTACTAATTTTGCATCCTTTCATTTCAATTTTCAAACTTAGAATATTTTTTTTTTCATTATAGAGTACGATTGCTCTTGAAAGATCATTAAAGAAGAAAATTGGATGGAAGAAACTTATAAGAAAGGGGAGGAATACACTGAAGAAGCCACAATACCAGGTCTTGCTTCTCTTAACAAAAACTTATAGTTGTATTTGATCCAAAAACGAGTAAGCTTGATGGTCGTGTTTCTATTTCAGTTGTGTTATGTTGATCCCGGAATCGCTTGTGAGGAGGAGATGGAAAAGCTCATGACAATTGATAGTGTCTTCTTTGAATTATAGGCAAATATGTAAAACACTTTGTTACATCAAGGTACACTCTGACTATAATTTAATTACATCAGAGAAGAAATTTAAGAAAAAAGCTTAGTTTTGTAAAATCATACAAGTGATCTTCATTGTTTCAGATACCAGATTTTTAGAATTATCCACCTATGAGGTTTCGTCGAAGCTCTGTAGTCTGAATAATCGTGAATAAAGTCCTGCATCCACTGCTATTAGAGTTGAGTGGGGGCCTGTCTCTACAATTCTACCTTTTTCCATGACGATTATGGTATCCGAGTTTTTCACTGTGGAAAGTCTATGAGCTATTGTGATCTGGGTGGTTCTCGAACACAAACCAGTTGCTTCCTTCAGATTCATTGCTTTAATAGCATTTACTATAGTTCTTTCAGACTCAGCATCGAGGGCACTCGTTGCTTCATCGAGGAGTAATATTGCTGGTTTCTTTAGTAAGGTTCTAGCAATGGCTATTCTTTGCTTTTGTCCTCCTGAAAGCTGGCAACCTTTCTCTCCAACAACAGTGTTGTATCCATTTGGTAGATTACTCACAAATTCATGTATATTTGCTTCTCTAGAAACCTCCACAATTTCACTTTCAGAAGCCCCGCTATTGCCATAGCAAATATTGTCTCGAATTGAGCAGTTAAAAAGCAGTGGCTCTTGTTGTACCAGACCTATTTGTGTCCTTAACCATCTTAGATTATATTCCCTCAAGTCTTTCCCATCAATTAGTACTTTTCCCTCCACTGGGTCGTAAAATCTTAGTAAAAGGGCTAAAACAGACGACTTTCCAGCACCACTCGGTCCTACAAAAGCCACCTTAGATCCAGCTTCAATTTGTAAGCTGAAATTGTCAAGAACCGTGACTGCAGGTCTTAAAGGGTACTTGAAATTTACATTTTCAAATTTGACATTTCCTTCTATCCTCTCGGGTTGTGAATCGTTCGGTATATCTGGTTCAATTTCAGTTTTACGGTCAAGGGTTTTGAATGCTGGGGTTAGCATATTGATGGCAGTGATGACAGTTGGGATCAGTGTGTATAATTCTGTGATAGAAGGAACTGTGAGAGAAAATATTTGGTATGCTCTTATTCCATTTTCAAAAGAGGCTTGCCGTCTGTCGACCAGAATTGTAGTGTACCACAAAGCAACGGCGTGTGCAATGTTCCACAAGCAAAGGGAGAAGCCTTGGATGATTCCATATTTGATACTTTCTTTCCTGTACTTTTTCTTCGGAATGTCCAGATATGTCTTGGCTTTCTTCAGTACTTGTTCTTCATGACAAAATGATGCTACAGTCCGTATGTTGGTTGTGGACTCAGATGCAAGAGCGACAAGGTCCGAATGTGACGCAGAGTAGTCGCCTGAGAATCCTTTGGCAGACTTGGCTTGAATGAGACCGCCTATGAAGTGGCAGGGCATCACAGCCCATGCCACCAAACCCATTCTCCAGTTGACATACATGCTAACACCTGTTGCTATTAGTATGGAGGAAACACATTGCACAATCACAGACATGCGATCAGCAATTATGATTTTGACCATGGCAGTATCGCTGATGATGCGTGAAGTTAATGAACCGACAGTGTTGTCAGGTTTGTCAAACCAGCCTACTTCATTACGAAGCACACCTGTAAAAGTTTAAATGATTATCAACTGATGTTTGTTAAATCATACTGGCATATTCTGTATATCCTGCTTTGTTTTAGGTTTTTTGACTCATGCCGAGAGTTCTTTCTTCCTTCAATGAAAGAGAGTTAAGTATGTAGAAATTCTAATAGGGAATATCCAATACCTGAATACAAAGCACGTCTGAAATTCGCCATGGCCTTTTCTCCAACCACTCCAAAGAAGTAATGCTGGAAGGTGTGGCTAAATAATGAAAGCAACCCTATTCCAGAGAAAATTGCTGAGAACTTTCCAACTTTTCGTTTTGCATCTTCTTCAAAGTATGCTACTCCGATGGTGATGATGTAGAAGCCAAAAAACGGCTTTGAGATGCCAGAGAAAGCTGCTGCAAATGCGCCAATAGCAATCTTCACCAGCTCCTTCTTTCTTAAATCAAACCAAATTCTGAAAAATATATTTTCTTCTCTTACGCTCGTCTTGTTATGTTCCTCCAGTACTGAATGGTCTGTAAGATCTCTTTGGACCTCTCTCTGTGTCTCAGGTAATGGTCTAGTTTCATCAATAGTGTCTACTTGGCGGGCACTTTTATTCTTGGAAGTTGTAGTTCTATCCATTAAACGGTTAAATCTGGTTAGAGTTGTTCATTGAGTTCCATTGGTTCAATATCAGACTATGAATATAAAGTTGCTAAATACCTTAGTTCAGGAGCTGATTCAAGGTTCTGCATGCTGAATAATGTACTATAAAATTTGCTCTTGTCTAACAAACTCTGGTGTGTTCCTGTCTCTACGATTTGTCCATTCTCAACTACAGCAATCATATCTGCATTTACAACTGTTGAAAGCCTGTGTGCAATCAAGATGACAGTCCTTCCCTCCATAGCTGTGTCAAGTGCTTCTTGAACCAGCTTTTCCGACTCTGAATCGAGGGCACTAGTGGCCTCATCAAGCAAAAGAATGGGAGGATTTTTCAGAATGGCTCTTGCAATTGCGATTCTCTGCTTCTGACCTCCCGATACTTGAACGCCCCTTTGTCCTACCTGTAATTTCATTCACACATATGGGGCGATTAATGTTGTGAACAGAAAAAAGACGAGTTTGAAAATACATCAAAATATGATTGATGTATACAAAGTATGCAAGTTAATAGAAAAAATACAAAATCAGAAAAGCCACAATTAAGCTAAGAGCAAAAGTGACATGCTAGATTGAGTAGCTCACCTCAGTTAGGTACTGATTAGGAAGCTGTGATATGAAAGAGTGTGCATTAGACATCACTGCTGCCTTTTGAATCTCTTCATCATCCGCATCCATTTTTCCCAGTTTCAAATTATCCTTGATCGTGCCCGTAAAGAGTGATGGTTCTTGGTATACAGCCCCTATATTACTTCGAAGAAACTGCAGATCAAGGTCCTTGATATTGTGACTGTCAATAAAAATTTCTCCTGGAATGAATTGAACAATATCAGACTTGACTATTCACATTCAAGATTGCACAATCAGTTCCTACACTTCTATTATTCTGATGCACTAATTAAGCTAACCTCTAGTGGGGTCATAAAACCTAGTTATCAGGGAAATGACAGTGCTCTTTCCACAGCCACTGCTGCCAACTAGAGCTACCGTCTTTCCTGCTGGTATGGACAACGACAATCCTTGGAGGATAGATTTCTCTGGCCGTGATGGGTATGAAAAGTGAACATCTCGAAGCTCAATGTAACCGCTAATCTTCGTAGGAATCTTCCCTTTTGATTCATTATGTATTAGTGGCTTTCTTTGGATTACTTGGAAGACCTCATACCCCGCAGCTTTTGCCTGATTGAATATTTGCATGTCTGGTGCTGCATAAGTGATAGATCTGCGATTCACGGCAAAAATTTTGTTACTGGATTGTTAAACTCTATTTTCGTTCGAAATCAAAACTAGCATTAAGTTTATTGCTTCCTTACATGGCACCAAAAAGAATACTCATTACTGCAGTTATTATATCTCCTCCCTCCGCTCTCCCGGCTCTGACAACAACGGCTCCAACCCATATAATCAGAGACCAAGAACAGAAACTCACAGTTTGAAACATTCCTGTTCCAACTCCCTTCACAAGTGCCTCCCCCTTGCTTATGACATACTGTTTATCCATGTTCTCTGTGAAGGATTTGACTGCCAAACCCTCCCCAACAAAAGCATATACTGTTTTTATTTGTGATATGGTCTGTCATAATATCAGTATTAGAGTTTGTTATAATCAGCTATGTGACAATAGATTAGACTAAAAGTATCACTGATATTGAACACTTGGCTTGTGTATGTGTATAAAATGCACAATTTGTCATGTTGTAAATCATAGTATTGCACCATGCATGGATCAATGTTGTATACCTGTTCTATCATAGACGTGGCTTCAGAATGGTAAAACAATTTCGTAGTCGAGATTCTGTTCATTTTCTTAGTGTAACTTGCTCCAATTATGAGAATAAGAGGGACAACCACTAAACACAGAAGTGCTACTTCCCAACAGGATATCGCGGCGATCACAATCCCGGCAAAGAAAGTTGCGCAGCTAGAGGTAAAGTGACCCAACTGTGATCAAGAATTTCACTTGCTTGGTTCAGTCATAAAAAGAAAGATTAAACTTGTTATTACAATTATTTATTTGCTTACCTTTTCACCAATTGCATCTTGTATAACACTCATGTGCTTGCTTATTCCAGTGATGACTTTTCCACTTGTTAATTCTGTATCAAAAGCTCCTATCTCTTGGCTTAGGACTGCTTTTAGATATGCTAATCGTAGGCGTGATAACTGTCTTTCACTTGCATACATCCAACAACCAATCTCTGCATAAATTTTCATCTGGTGAATTGTAGAATTGAGTTTCATTTTTTCAAATATATGTGATCATGAAAATTCTGTCATAAGATGAAAGAAATATTTACCAAGTATCCCAGCAGGAAATGTGGCGATGGCCATGTACCACACGTATGGAACAACCTGAAACCGACGACGACAACAACAAAATCAACAACCTATATAACATTTGTTTGTGTGTACTCATATGGATATTGTTAGTATCATTGTTAACTTAAGTACCTTTTTAAGAGCAGGAACCATAGCATCAGTGTCATGAATATTGTTACCAAAAGCATTAAGAGCTTTTCCTAACAACAAATAACCAACAGGAAGTGCCATGCCATGCACAATAGAACCTAAAGTCCCCAAACCCATAAGAATCCAATCCACATAGTCAGCATAGCTCAACAGTTTAAAGAATGGCAAAGATCTCACCGAGCTCTTCTTCATCGCATCATGATCATGATCTTCTTCTTCTTCCATTTGCACGACTTTTTTGGGTCTACCGGGTGGTGCCATTGTAGT